TTCAATTTTCTACAGGTGAGATAGTCAACTTTTTTGATAAATTGTATAGTTTTCGCGGCATCTGCTCTAGAAGGTCTGTAATATTAGAAATTTTATTTTTGTCTTACATGTTCCCATCAGGAGAAAATCGACTAAATCAACATTGAGCAATCATTCTAGACATGCGGGAGCATGTTAAGCCTAGTTCCAGGGAGGGGACTGCACCGTGCGTATATTTAGACGAACCACTTTGAGCCACTATTGACTCCTCATCACTCAAAAACTACTGTGCATTAACACTTCAAATTTGGCTCATGTGTTGAGACTTGCAAGATATACATCAGCTTCAAATTTCATAAATATGCCTCAAACGGTTCTTTAGGTATTGACGTCCCGAGGTCAGAATTTGTGTTCTACGGATTTCTCTCTACACCGTCGTTAAGGCATTCATTGACTGGACTAAATATTAGTAGGATTATAAATTCACATGGGCATTATCAATGTAAATCTACTTGCAGTATGTTTGCGATGTACGTGGAGCGGGTCCTACTACCCGACCTGCAGAAAGTCAGCGGCGCTTTAGAGCGTAAGGCAGCGGCTGTCGGCTGCGTCAAGCTGCTGGCTACCTCCGCGCACTTCACGCGAGGTTCGCTGGTGCAGTACTGGCCGCGACTCATGCAGGTCAGTTGGATAGACTAGTTTAAGCTAAAAAGGCAGGTTCAAGCAAAAAAAGGAAGGTTCAAGCTAAAAAAGGCAAGTTCAGGCCAAAAAAGGCAAGTTCAAGTTAAAAAAAGGCAAGTTCAGGCCAAAAAAAGGCAAGTTCAGGCCAAAAAAAGGCAAGTTCAGGCCAAAAAAGGCAAGTTCAAGATGATAAAACGCAGGATCAAGGAAAAAAGGAACTAACGACGCAGTTGCCGTGTGATATATTGCACAAGTTGAGTAGTAGACACACCCTAGCCTTTTCGCTTCGACCATAAGACGTCTACTGGTCGAGAGCCTCCTCAAGGATTTCGACATAGACCAGTCCTGCGCTGCTCGCATCCAGTTGCTTCTCGTGACCGCCTTGAAATAGTGAAAGAGTGTCTATACTACGTCTTCTGGTCCATGGTTGCACTCGAGAACTTTTGTCTCAACGGCCATCAGCTTCTACTAGCCCTGTAGAAGTGAGCGGCGCGCTGGTGCAGTACTGGCCTTGGCTCGTGCAGGTCAGTTGGATAGACAAGGACAGTACTGGCCGCGGCTCGTGCAGGTCAGTTGGATAGACAAGGACAGTACTGGCCGCGGCTCGTGCAGGTCAGTTGGATAGACAAGGACAGTACTGGCCGCGGCTCGTGCAGGTCAGTTGGATAGACAAGGACAGTACTGGCCGCGGCTCGTGCAGGTCAGTTGGATAGACAAGGACAGTACTGGCCGCGGCTCGTGCAGGTCAGTTGGATAGACAAGGACAGTACTGGCCGCGGCTCGTGCAGGTCAGTTGGATAGACAAGGACAGTACTGGCCGCGGCTCGTGCAGGTCAGTTGGATAGACAAGGACAGTACTGGCCGCGGCTCGTGCAGGTCAGTTGGATAGACAAGGACAGTACTGGCCGCGGCTCGTGCAGGTCAGTTGGATAGACAAGGACAGTACTGGCCGCGGCTCGTGCAGGTCAGTTGGATAGACAAGGACAGTACTGGCCGCGGCTCGTGCAGGTCAGTTGGATAGACAAGGACAGTACTGGCCGCGGCTCGTGCAGGTCAGTTGGATAGACAAGGACAGTACTGGCCGCGGCTCGTGCAGGTCAGTTGGATAGACAAGGACAGTACTGGCCGCGGCTCGTGCAGGTCAGTTGGATAGACAAGGACAGTACTGGCCGCGGCTCGTGCAGGTCAGTTGGATAGACAAGGACAGTACTGGCCGCGGCTCGTGCAGGTCAGTTGGATAGACAAGGACAGTACTGGCCGCGGCTCGTGCAGGTCAGTTGGATAGACAAGGACAGTACTGGCCGCGGCTCGCGCAGGTCAGTTGGATAGATAAGGACAGTACTGGCCGCGGCTCGTGCAGGTCAGTTGGATAAACAAGGACAAGTTGCTGGCCTCCTCCGCGCACTTCAGAATTGACTACGACTGGGGCCCGGTTTCTACTAAGGAGCAGAGAAGTGTTTGGAATAACCAGATTTCATTATTTCAACAGCTCCTTTCCTGTCAAATCCCATATAAAAATTTGATGGCCCGACATTTCTCCGCTCTGTTCCACTCCGCCTTGTTGGAAGCCGGGGTTTATGCATGGCACTTCCAACTAGACACGAGACAGCGTAACAATTGCCTTTGAAGTACTGGTCTCACCTCATGCAAGAGACTTGGATTATTATTTAACTTGCCTTGCCAGGACAGTTCGGGTGCTTATACCTACGTCTTCTCGTCTGTGGTCGAAACTCGAAAACGTTTCTGCCCCCAGATAATGTTAACCCATCCCCTATTTCTATATTATGAGTTAAATAAGAAGCCGTGTGGTGACGGCAGAGTAGAATACATTTGTCACTTTTCCCGTGGGTGTCGTAGGAGGCGACTTAGGGACTACACATCAAACAGAGAACGGGCAGCAGCGCTCTCTAAAAAAACATCAATCTTTTAAACTTCGATCTCCAACCCGCCTGCCAAGCGTGGGGATTATGGCAATACCCTCCACTATAGTGGAGGAGGCTCATAGTCCAGCAGTGTCTTAAAGGGCTGTTGTTCGTTTCAGCCAAATGACGTCCACTGCTGGACAAAGGCCTCCTCCAAGGTTTTCCACAATGCACGGTCCTGCGCTGCCCGCATCCAGGCTCTTCCCGCGACCTTTACGAGATCGTCGGTCCACCTAGTAGGAGGCCTGCCCACGCTACGTCTTCCAGCCCGTGGTCGCCACTCGAGAACTTTCCTGCCCCAACGGCCATCGTCTCTACGAGCTATGTGCCCCGCCCACTGCCACTTGGTTTTAGCAATTCTGCGAGCTATGTCGGTCACTTTGGTTCTCCTGCGGATCTCCTCATTTCTGATTCGATCACGCAGGGAAACTCCAAGCATGGCCCGCTCCATCGCCCTTTGGGTGACCTTGAGCCTTCTTATGAGGCCCATAGTAAGCGACCACGTTTCAGATCCATAAATCATCAAGGGGCTGTTGATGATGAGTTAAATAAATGTCCGTTTGTCCACCAGGCGCTGATCTCGCTGTTCGAGCTGCCGACTGACGAGTCCTCGCTGCCCGACGACCACTTCATCGAGGTCGACGACACTCCCGGCTACCAGGCTCACTACGCGCAGTTAACTTGCGCACGCGGCGTCGCTAACGATCCTCTCGCTGGTAACGTATTTTGAATACTATTGCCTTGTGTTTAGGTCCAAAATCAATTGGCACCATATTAGAAACCTTCACGCTCTGTGTTGCAAGTCCTAAGACTATTACGTATAGAATTGATACCATCTGAACCTTTTTGCCTCGTCTAAAAGTTCAAAAAATTTAAAGCTGAGTGAGATTACCCTGTACAGTTGCCAACATACTTACTTGATTTGAGATTTGCACCAAAATTTTTTACTTAAGAAAGGAATGAATCCGGTATGTTTTCCTGTATAGATGTACCTATTTTATGCACAGCAATTAGCAGTCTTAATTATCTTAAAAACTGAATTGAAACGAATAATATCCGTTTTTATATTCGCAGGCATCGAAGACCCCAAGCGCTACCTAGCGGAGAGCCTGGGTGCTATGTCGCAGTCCGCTCCCGGCGTCCTGCCGCCGCTGGTGGCAGCCCTAGAGGAGCCGCACCGACAGGCCCTGCACGCTTACTTAGCACTGTACAGCGTTCACATCTGCTGAGCCCACCAAAACGTCTCCGTCTACACCGGACTCAATTAGGTGTGGGAGGCGTTGCAAGTGAAGTGAAGTGAAGTGATGTGATGTGAAGTGGGTTAAAATTAGACATTGATGTTATTAACTGTTCTATAGTCTGGTCTGCGAGCACGTAGAATTTTGTCCAATGACCCAAGCTAGGTTATTGTCACTTACTGCGGGCGCCCGTCGCACAGTCGCGACAACAATATAATTACGCGCGAGCGATAAGGATGGGTAGCTTGGGGTCATTGGACAAAATTCTACGTGCTCACAAACCGGGCTTTAGTGGTATGTTTAATATCGTCGTTGACGAGTCAAAACCTCGTAAGTCGTTTTTACTAAAAACATTTTAATTTAATAATTAAGTAAAACTCTTAACGCACGTTTTGAACTCACCTATATTCGAATGGGATGATTAGTGCCATCTATAAATATAATATACTATAATCCGGGCATTTTCAAGGCGAGAGTGAAAGGGCAGATATGTACCATCCCAGACTGCATCCCACTTGACATCAGGTGCGATTGTGGTCAAATAACTGCCTTGTTGTGCATAAAAAAATAAAAAATATATCGCTTTCAATGAAAAGCTAATAAAAATATTCAGGGGACGGTTTTTGTCTCTTTTTCTTTGCCTGGCCCATTCCCATTACGTTTGGGGTCGGCCCTCCGCGTCATGCGTCTCCAGGCGGCTTGGTCCTGGGTTGTCTTACTGTTAACTTTGGCTTCTTTAAGGTCGTTATTGATTACGGACATCCATGTAATTCGGGGTCTTCCTCGTCCGCAGGGCTTAGTTTGGATGTCTAGCAAGACGGTTTTTTGTCTCTCTTGAAAAATTTTGTTTTCGGTACTCCCGAGGTTTTCACTCGTTAATGACGTTATTCACATTAATATTACTTGGAAGGTAATCTTATTATTTCATGTTGTGACTGTACTAGTTGTCCGATGTATGGTAGCATGTGAGACGTTGTAACATTTATTTTGAATGATGTATGAAATTGATGTATGCATTTAAGATTGATGAATGTCTATGTAAGCTATTGATATTTCCATGTTTAACTTAGATTTAAATGATTTGTTTATATGATGTAACAATGGCAAATGCCTACTATGTAAATATGAATGATATGATGTATGTAAGAAATAAGTATAGTCTGTAATTTCTTAGAGATACATAAATATCTTAAAGTGACTCTTGTATTGAAGATTATATAAAATTTTGAAGGAATTAAATGTGATACTATGATATGGGCATTTCTGTTTGTGGTAGGATTTTCTGACGCTGAGCGTCATTCTCTTATTGATGTTTTGGTAGAAGATGAAATGATAGATTGTGAAAGAAAAACTCAATTTTATGTTATTGCAAGAATAATTACTCTTTTTTGTATGTAGTTGATTGATGTTTTGCAAAAAAATTAATAAGTGTTATAAATTCGAAACTGTAGCAAAAGTGTACTGTCTATTTTGCTACACTTTAACTCTTGGCAGTTTTAACTTGCATTTATATAATAAAGTATATTATGTAGTGCATTTTTAAATATTGTTATTGGAACAAAAGAGACTGATGATCTTTGAATCATGATTTGTTTTCTCGGTTAGTTATTTCTTTGTTTTTCCATGCGGAATTACTATGCTCTTGTTTGTAACATACTTTTGTTTAATAAATGCTTGGCTCATTAATATTTACGGTGTTTTATACTTATACAGTGTTTAGTAGTTACCTTAAAATATAGGGTGTAAGGAAATGAAAAAACAAGTACATTCAGAAATGTATATTCGAAAAAGCGATTTGCTACAAACATTTTGCGAAACCCATCTAATGCGGAAACATTATAATGGCAAAATTAAAAACCGTTACATATTGAAACACGTTACATTTATGCGTAGTGAAGGAATGCGCCTACGACTGTGATGATGAGTGCGAGAACAGTAACGATGCAAAAACAAAACCGTTTAAATACATTTTAGGCAGTTTTAAGCTATCATATAAATGTTACAAAATGTTAATACGCAACAAAGAAAATAAAAGTTTCACGATTACATCTAAATTCACAATAATGCAAAAGGCAAATTGAAAAAAGAAATTGATCTACCCATAATCTACCACCACATATAAAAGTGTAATGCAAAGTTCAACAATTACATCAAGATTTTAAGATTGAAAGTCAAATAACAATATAACTAACGTCAAGTGGATAGTGTAAAAATAATTAATTTTATTAAAACAATTTCAAACGTTTACACAATATTAAAAAAATGAGGAACGCAATCAGAGTGAAATCAAAGGAAAATATTCTAAAGGACATCTCATGTCGATCAAACATTTTCTTTCAAACTGACACAATTTCAAACTTGATTTCTATTGCATTGAGATGTCCTTTAAAATCACAGCAAACACGTTCTCGTGTAACTTCAAAATAAACCGAACAATATAAATGCCAAAAAATAAATTTAAAATAACAAATATTTGAAAAATATTCATTTTTGTAAAGTTCCCACGAGACCGTGTTCCATATACGGTTACAAACTTCGCGGTTTTTATTCAAATTCTGAAAACACATTCGTCAACATCACTGCATTTGTGTGACACTTATGAGAGATATGCATAACATTATCACAACATTGAAAACATTAATTTGTATAAAAACAATATTTTTAGAAAAAATACTATCAACACGCAAGATTGTCACATTGCTGATATTTACCCTGCTCTAGAATTGAGACCCGACACCCGACATCGACCTGGAACCAAGTCTAAATGGTGGGTCAAATCTATTAATTTTTATCATCGAAAGTAAAATCTGTTGTCTGCTATCAGAATTTAATAATTTTGAAACAAATTCGACTAATTCGGTTGAAACTGGTGACATGTTGAGACCAAAATCTTATAGAATACAATCAAAGATCGTAATATAATATCATTTTGACAAAATCGGTATTAATTACGACTGGCAACATATAAAGATCCATAATACAAACAACACTTAAAACTCAACTCAACCTCAGTTATAGATTCTGTCATGTGATTGGTATACTAAAATTCAACCAATCAGAAGCCTCCACCTACACTTGCGATTGAATATAATTTTGAGTGTGTCGTTCTGAATTAAGGATCTTATTTTACCGTGACAGATTTTCAATCCTCAGTCGTTGCGTTAGAGTTAGAGGTTTTCCGAGAAGATGGTCATTCCTCAGTGTGGTGTTAAGAGTCCAACGGTTAAAATATGTAATAAGATTTTGGTCTTGCATTGCCTAAACGAATTTCACAATAATAACATTTCATACAATAAACAAAACAGTCTCCAATTTCAACCGCGCGCCGTCAGCCTGGCAATAAAAACCGCGTCGTTGTAATTCCGGCGGGCGGGTCACTTGAGCGCGCACTCAACGAAAACTCCGGCGTGTTCGGTCTGCGGCGGCGGCGTGAGCGGCGGCGACGCCGGCGGCGACTGCGGGCCTGTCATGCGGGAGCCGACTACGAAGTGAGACTCGGTTAGAGGCCACATGTTCTTGAGGCTTAGCCTGGGGAGAGAGACGTTATTGGTTATCGAAGTAGAATAGAAATCAAGCGATTTGGGGGCTTATAAAGTTTAAACTGACATTTAGTATGGAAATGTCACTTGAAACAAGTGCTTAACGTGTGTATAGCTTTTTTGTAATAAGGCCCTTGTTATCTAAATTAGAGTAGGCGCACACCGTTGATTTTTAGTTGGCCGATAGTTGTGCCCGACTTTAAATTGTATGAAGAATCGGCCAATTCGAATCGGCGTATACTGCCCATACTGATCAACTGCCCGACTAAACTATCGGCCGACGAAAAATCAACGGTGTGCAATCATTTTGATCAACTTGTAAAAACCAGCGACGTGTGTGGTGGCATTAGAGAGGGTCGTGCTCCGGTAGTGAAAATTGAAAGATCACAAAAGTAACCGATATAACCCGTAGAATTTCCAAACTTCATGGTAGTGAGCGGGACACAGATAGAACTAATAGCTGTTGGGATAGAAAAGCTCTCGAGTGGCGACCACGGACCGGAAAACGGAATCTGGTGAAGGTCGCGGGAAGCACCTGGATATGAACAGCGCCGGACCGCTCATTGTGGAACTAACTCTTTAAGGAGGCTTTTTCCCAACAGTGGACGTCCTTCAGCTGAAATTATAATGGTGTGTACTGACCACAGCTGGCGGTCGATGACGGCCCTCACTCTCGGCAGCGGGAAGCCGTTGAAGGGCGAGGCCACGGGCAGGGTGTAGGCGCCCATGTCTCGGAAGGCCAGCCAGTTGCCCGCACGCAATAACGACATCGTGTATATACTCCTACAGTGAGATATGTTCCTACAGTGTACCTAACTACGTCAGCAGCGTGTTTGTATAGTCGTGATTCTGTAGTGGACTGTGAATGAGCTGTTGTACTGACAACAGCTGGCGATCGATGACAGTTTGGTACGGGCCTGTTGATGTACTGACCATAACTGGCGGTCGATGACGGTCTGCTATGGACAGCGTGTGAGCAAATAGGGCGTTGTGCTCCATATGTATAGAGTCTTGTTGCTGTAGGAGATGTTGAAAGAACTGATATTGTACTGACCACAGCATTCTCAGCCGCTTGGTTACCGCTGGAATGCGTTTAAGGGCGAAGCCACGTGCAGGATGTATCTATTATTTATATAAATGGCCGTGACCCTGCATTTGACAATGAATAAGCTGTTGGTGTACTGACCACAGCTGGCGGTCGATGACAGTCTGCTAAGGGCAGCGTGTAAGCAAGTAGAGGGTTGCGCTCTGTGTGTATAGAGAATCATTTTCCTGCAATGGATGTTTAAAGAACCGTTTATACTGACCACAGCTGGCGGTCGATGACGGCCCTCACTCTCGGCAGCGGGAAGCCGTTGAAGGGTGAGGCCACGGGCAGGGTGTAGGCGCCCATGTCTCGGAAGGCCAGCCAGTTGCCCGCACGCAGCGGAGGCAGCGAGTATATAGAGACTCATAGAGAGATATGCTCCTACAGTGTACCTAACTACGTCAGCAGCATGTTTGTAGTTTGTAGGTATAGTCGTGATTCTATAGTCGCAGCGGTTCCCGAATGGTGGTCCGCGGAACCCTGGGGTTCCGTGGAAAGGCCGCAAGGGTTCCGTAAAAAATATTATCCCACGTTTCGTGACCGACGTTGTGTTGTTTACGCACAAGGGAGGGGCAGGGCGTGCGGGCGGAGTAGTACGGGGGTTCCGCTAGGAAAAGTATAATCATTAGGGTTCCTTGGCAAAAAAAATTGGGAAACCCTGCTGTAGTGGACTGTGAATGAGCTGTTATACTGACCACAGCTGGCGGTCGATGACAGTCTGCTAAGGGCAGCGTGTAAGCAAGTAGAGGGTTGCGCTCAGTATCTATAGATAAATCATTTTCCTGTAATGGATGTTTAAAGAACCGTTTATACTGACCACAGCTGACGGTCGATGACGGCCCTCACTCTCGGCAGCGGGAAGCCGTTGAAGGGTGAGGCCACGGGCAGGGTGTAGGCGCCCATGTCTCGGAAGGCCAGCCAGTTGCCCGCACGCAGCGGAGGCAGCGAGTATATAGAGACTCATAGAGAGATATGCTCCTACAGTGTACCTAACTACGTCAGCAGCGTGTTTGTATAGTCGTGATTCTGTAGTGGATTGTGAATGAGCTGTTGTATCGACAACAGCTGGCAGTCGATGACAGTCTGCTACGGGCAACTTGTGAGCAAGTAGAGCGTTGTGCTCCGTATGTATAGAGAATCGTGTTTCTGTAGGAGATGTTGAAAGAACTGATATTGTACTGACCACAGCTAACAGTCGATGACGGGTCTCATTCTCGGCCGCTTGGTTACTGCCACAGGCAGGGTGTAAGCTATTCTAGATCGTTTCATCCACGAAGACCCGCCCCACTAAGTTTTGGTCGAGGGAAGCGCGGGGTGCGGGGAGTTTGATCCGAGCAATCCGAGCGTCATTATTGTAGTGTGCGTGTGCACTCATGGTTAATTTAGCGTGTACCGATAACACTCAAACATTAGCGGAAGAATGGTGGGGCGCGTCTTCGTGGATGAAACGATCTATATCGAGTCCTGCATTTGACAATGAATGAGCTGTTGGTATACTGACCACAGCTGGCGGTAGATGACAGTCTGCCACGGGCAGCGTGTAAGCAAGTAGAGGGTTGCGTTCTGTGTGTGTAGAGAATCATTTTCCTGCAATGGATGTTTAAAGAACCGTTTATACTGACCACAGCTGGCGGTCGATGACGGCCCTCACCCTCGGCAGCGGGAAGCCGTTGAAGGGCGAGGCCACGGGCAGGGTGTAGGCGCCCATGTCTCGGAAGGCCAGCCAGTTGCCGGCACGCAGCGGTGGCAGCGACGCGGTCGGCAGCACGCAGTCTAGCCCGTCGCATGTGGGACCCCACACTGAGCACGGCTGAGGCTTCTCAGACGTCGGCTGTAGGGAAAATACGGGGCTACTTTAAAACAATTGCTTAACTAAGATAAAAGAGGAGGCTGTTCTGTTGAACTTTTTAACAGATGGTACTCTACTACGGGCTTGGTGATAGTTTTTTTTAAGTTTATTTACACCTGTTATGCAGAATTAGGATGGATTAATACAGTTGGCAAGTTTTTTGAAAGGATTCTGGCTTTTCATATAAACTTTTACTACGAAATCTGTAATCTTCAATCCCGAAAAACAAAATATTTTCGTGTCGTTTTACACAAAAAAACTTTTATTGAGGCGTATTTCGATATCTTTTCGATCAAATTTCTTTCAGGACAATATTTGGAATACCTGAGAAGCTAATGAAATTCTGAAGGTACATATTAATAATAAAATAACGTCAACGGTCACTGGTCCTTATCGCTCTATATAATATTGCTGACGCGACTGTGCGACGGGCGCCCGCAGTGAGTGTGCGAGCGCGACAGCAATGTAATTACACGCGAGCGATAAGGATGGGTAGCTTGGAGTCATTGGACGAAATTCTATCTGCTCGGCGACCGGACTTTAGTAGTGGTTACTTTCAAGAACTAAAATCTTCATAGATTTTTTAACGGTGACGTGTCATACAAACTCATGATAAAGCTACTGTTGATGGTTTTAAGATATTGTCTCACCATGAGCGGCTGCGCGACGACCTGCTGGTGGTCGTAGAGCACGCAGTTGAAGGAGCCGTACACGCCGTCGTTGATGAAGTACATCGTATGCGGCTCCGACTCCTCCTTCGCTGGCAGCTGCAAGTAGATACATGTTCAAACAACTGTAAGTTAGAACTCCCATATCTGCCTTCCTTTGAACAACTGAGGAGTGTCTATTCAAAAGGGGATATTTACATTTTTATTATTTATTAAACTGAGTATGCAGTCTTGTTCTTAGTGCTGAATACTCACTTTCGTCACTTGAATCTTAATCAAAACGGGATATTCTCCCAAGTAAAGCAGCTTCAAATATGAGTGTTCATTTCAGAACAGGATATTTACACTTACAAAATTAAAAAAATAATAGTTATTTTTCATTTCATAACAAGAGAGGATATTTACAATACAAATATTTACACTATACCAATTAGCCGTTTCAAAACGGGATATTTACTTTTACATAGTGTTTTATTTCCTTTAACTTTATGCTTTAGGATTTATTTTTAGACATTTTACTCTGTAGAACGGAACGCAAAATTAACGCAAAACGGAATCTATGTTGTGTGATTGTCTGACACCTGATATTGGACAAATCAGAGCCCCGATTACGGTAACTTTTAACGTCTACAATCCAGACGCGTTTCTGATTCTGCAATACGATTGGTCAAAACAGCTGACGTACGCTGTTGAACGACCAATCGTATCGCAGAATCGAGAAGCGTGTCTGGATTGTTGACGTTAAAAATTACCGTAATCGGGGCTCAGGATTTGAATGTCTAATAATTAAAAAAATATAATTCTGTTTAGTAGCGTCTTTAATTTTGGTCATTATTATTATTAAAAAAAAAGAATAATCTGTGTTTTATTATCATTTAAAATCTTGAGATGTACAATACAAAAGAGGATATTTACAAAATAGTAGGCTCAACTAAAGGGGATATTTACAGTAAGTACAGAACAAAGGGGGATATTATAAAAGATCCGTGTCAAAAGAGGATATTATGATTTCTCTGAACTCTGTAACTTTAAATTAACAAGTCATATTTTTTGGCAATAAGTGTAGTTAGAACACTGTAATGAAATAGTTTCATAACAGAAATAATGCTTTTCGGTAGGTCTGTAAATATTTCCTATATAAGTTTTTCCCATTTTGTGAAAAATAAGATAGAATGTAGGTATCCCCTTTTGAAAAGACACTCCTCAACTGCAACTTAAGCTAAGCGTCCACTTGTCGGTATCGTACGCAACGGACGCATCGTACATCGGATAAATGTTTCACAGTGCGTCCACTGTACCGGCAACGTACGGATTACCCACGGTGAGTACCAGCATACGGATTGACGATGCCAGTTCATTCGATGTCCACTTAAGTAAAGTGTCGGTAAAGTGAACTTGGTATGAGAAATGGTTGCATGAAACTTATTTCGAGAATCAAAATTGTCTCGTTATCGTATAATGAGGGCTATCGTTTTAGCGCTCACCAGTTAGCGCCACTGTAGAGTAAGGTCCTGTCACTTGCTAGTAGCGAAGACAGTGGCACCAACTGGTGAGCGCTAAAGTGGTAGGAGGACCATCGCATTTGCACTCATCAAGATGGCGCCACTGTAGAGTAAGGTCCTGTCAATCGCCAGGGGTGCCAACTGTTCAGTATAAAAACGATAGCCCTCATTTGAAGGTTGAGTATCGAATTTTGTCGAATACGCAAACGATTCGAAGACGAAAGTTGTTCATGCTAGAGGTACTGTAATGAAGATGATGATGACTTCGCACGCACCTCTCTCTTGGCGTGCACGAGCGCGGCGAGCGTGTAGGCGGCGGCGGCGAAGTAGCGGCCCGGCTCCGCGATCACGCGCACGTTGGAGCCGCCGAAATACGTCTCCAGAGCAGAGTTGATCACCACCGCCACCTGCCGACGAGAAACACTTGTAGACTATTGGGGAGTTGACTGACACTAATTAATCAATAATTCCTTTTTTTGTCTTGTGTGACGTACAATAAAGTACGTTATTAATTAAACTTCTTAATTAAGTGCCCAAGCAACTGCACTCAGGAGGATTTGATGAGTGCTACTGACAACGCGGCAACGTCACTCTTGTGGCGGAGTTTTGGGCTGACACTGTGTAGGTTTGTTGTCGACACGAAAAGAAGAAGAAGAATTAAACTTCTATAAACCATACAAAATTCTAATTTTGAAATCTCAATTAGTTCTCAACTGTTTGTGCTCTCAAAAATGGCTTTAAAGTTAGTCATTTCAGCTGCTATGTTGTAGCCAAAACGTCAAGTAGTGAGTACATAATGTAACTCAGTCATAAATGTCGCATCAAGATCTTTCTAAGAGTTTTTCTATTTTAGATAGATCAAGTACAACTGCTAGATGGAGTTAGTTACACTGGTCGCGCGCATACCTCTGCAATGCAGAGGTATGCGCGCGACCAGTGGGTAGTAGTAAGTAGGTTGGTTCTATTTCTATTTCTATTCTAGGTAAATGTGTTTTGTTGAGTGGTGTAGATACAATAAAATACATATTATTTTGGGATTTCAATTTCTTTCTTTGCAGTAGGTATTAATTTAATGTGTCAGGTATGTTGTAACTGGTTTATTCTTTGCTACTAACCGTGAAGCCTGTGAATTGCGAGAAAAATGTTGGGATCTCAAAAACAATTAAAGCTTACGATAAATTTAACCATTTTTTTCAGTTGTTCAGAGCATGTTACGTTATATCGGACCGATTGAGCCATTACTAGGCTCATTCAGTTTGTCATTCAGTTGTTACAAACCACAAGATAGAAGAATAAAGGCGAAAGTGGAAACTAGATAAAAATATATTACAACGGGTCCTACACACCCAAAGACATTATTGTCGTTCAATAACAGCGCTTCGGTAGTCATTACCGACGTTATGCAGCACACGCGTCGTGAGTGATAACGGCTATCATTAGGGTCCCTTACCTTACTCGTCACCTTCAACCCTTCGAGCTCACGTGACATCCCATCCCATGGGGTGAGGCCTGTGTGTATGGGATGTATTACAGTTACTTGGTTGGATATTTAAATAGCTTGTACGTATTGATTTCTTAAAGAATATACAGCTACAAAATATCTGTGTGTGACCGTGTTACTGCCGCTGCAGTAACGGTGTGCTGGAGTCTGAAAACTGTGCTGGCTCCGTCATGCAACTAGGTATATTGCCGCTGCAGTGTCAGTCAATCATACCTCCTGGATGGAAGTGTGCAGGCCGCCAGGGAAACCTCCACCGATGTCCAACAGCGACATGCGCGAGTGGCCCACGCTAGCGGCCAGCGTGAACAGCGCGCGACTGTACTGGATGGCGCGCAAGTACACAGCTGTCTCCGAAGCGCCGGAACCGACGTGGAACGACACGCCGATCACCTATGGAGGTAAATACAAAATTAAAACCTCTACAACACACTGCTAAAGCCTGGTCCGTGAGCACGTAGAATCCCGTCCAATGACCCCAAGCTACCTATCCCTATCGCTCGCGCGTAATTATATTGCTGTCTCGCTCGCACACTCACTGCGGGCGCTCGTCGCACAGTCGCGACAGCAACATAATTACGCGCGAGCGATAGGGATAGGTAACTTGGGGTCATTCATTGGACGGGATTCTACGTGCTCACGGACCAGGCTTTAGTATAGTTGGTGCAACATTTTTGAACCCAACACCTCGAATTTAATGACGAAATGAAATTGGTATTGCGTGTTGAATACGATGAACCTGATTGCTGAGCAGCATTTCGCTTCGGAAGGCATTAGGTCACTCGGAGAGTGTTCGTACCGCGAGGTGAGCACTCGGCGAATATTATTTGACAGAGATTTGACTGGAAAGTCACAGTTCACACGGGATCTACTCGTTTCTAGAGTTAGAATCCTATGTACCGTGTTTCATGTAATAAACAATTTGAATTTGAATTTGAATTTGAAAATAAGAGGGAGTAGGAAAAGTTCCTTATGTATTTACTTTACAATGGAAAACTGTTGTAAATGTCAAAATATTCTAGTGGCGCCACCTTGTGTTTAGTTTGAAACAATTCACCAGATGCACTTTTACTTTAAGTAAAGACAAGACAGTCCTTTTAAATTAAGGTCCCAGCACGCTTCCACTGCGTAGCAAATAGCTATTATATGAGAATTAAAGATGAAACAGTTACTTTATTTGTTATAATAACGTTTAGTACTGACCTCCAAGCCAAGCACGGCAGCGACTTTAAGCAGACGCGGCGCCTCGGTGACGGGGTCGCAGCCGAACTTGATGCCGAGCGGGCACTGCGCCGACGCCGCGTCGCAACGGATGCGGATCACCAGCCTGCGGACAGAATAGAATAGTTTTAACGCATTCGCTATACGGTAGATCGAATGTTGTGGTGGAGGTGCTTGAGGAAGATATAATACTGGATGCGGTCTACAGTCAGGTCAAAGTGAATGTCAAGGACAGGAATTAAAAAGAAATTAAAAAACAAAAAATAAAGATCGGATCGGAGTCAGACTTTCGAACAAACGCAATACGGCTTTTCATTTTTGCTCTCTTCGTAACAAATTACAAAGAGAATCAGTGAATAAATACAGCCTGCATAATGTATGGTTACTTTGACCTGACCGTAGACCGCATTTAGGCTACAACTACTTAGCTTCTACTTGGGAAGTTGGCAGAGACTTGGATTGGATTTCTTTTTACAGTGACCATAGTCGCGTACGTCAGCCGAACGTATAAACGCTACGTTATAAGACACCGCATTGCGACGCTGATTCATACGTACAGCTGACGAACGCGACAGACATCAACGTAGGAAGAAATCAAGCCTTAGTGTCACACTGACCATAGCGATCGTGAACGTGACAGCAAAGTACACACGTCATTCGAGGAGCTATTGAAAGTTCGACAGTTGATGAACATGGTACACACGTCATTCGAAGAGTTATCGAAAGTTTGATAATTGAAAACTCGGTAAATAATAAAGGAATGATATCATTCAGCAGTATCGATGAAAAGTAGAGAAAATGACGTCTTGAATGAAGATCACGTCACGGAAAATGCACGTCACCAGCTTACGCATAACGTTTGTGTTCTACACGGTTATGTAATATGTGTACATATTGCGTGGTCACTATAAATGGATTAGAGCATACCTTAGCTGTTTACAGTGAACTAGGTGACCTTTACAATGCTCGATTAGTTTTATTTATGTGTTTTAAGCCATATTATGTATACTAATCTTTAGATGATCAGATTTTAAAGAACTTTTATATTCATACAGAAATGTTTTGGATGGCAACGCCATACTCGTACATACAAAGTATGCATGATAGATAAATAAATGAAACATTTAAATCTCAAGTAGACAGACTGATATAGGAATCAGATGTCTGATAACATTTACGCATAAATGTCAGATCTAGTAAGGAAATGCTAAGTCGATGTCGATCAAAATTATCTTTTTTAAGCCGAAACCTTGTGTTTATTTTGAGAATAACGTGTCTGTACCACTTTACGTAATCTATAAAAAGGCGCATAGATTTAGACGAAAAGATTAAAAAATTGAGTCAGTATGGACACGATATCTTTGTTATCTACATTTTTAAATAATTTTACCTGTTTGCTAGAAATGTCGGTAAAAATCAATGGTACATTTTTAAAGGCATATTTGCGAGCTTTTTGGCTACAAAATTTTCTTTGCAGATCCCAGAATTTTCATATAATTTATTCATTTATTTTGGCCTCAACATTTGATTACCTACCACTGAAGCTCAGTTTAGTACAGTTCCATATAAAATACAACGCTCATTTATTGTGACATTTAGCTCCGTTTGAATACTCAGTTTAAGTCCCGGTTTCCACCGAAGCGAAGAGATGTATTTGAATAACCAATCAGATTCCCGACCGGAAGCCAAGCAGAGAGATTATGTAAGAACATCGAAATTCTCAATTCAAACACAACTTCTCTCCTCTCCACTTGAAAACCGGGAACCGGGTCTAATACAGTACCCAGTTAATACTAAATCAATCATTCATTCATTCGTTCACTCCACAGATACTCACTGCGCGTGCGCCATGAGCTGCTTGATCTTCATGAGCTCGGTCTCCGAGTCGAAGGTCATGACGTCGACTCCCATGCGAGCTGCTTTCTTATGCAGCTCCATATAGCTAAACCATTCATTCATTCGTTCGTTTCATCCGAAAGACGTCCACAGCTGGACAAAGGCCGGTCCTGCGCCGCTCGCATCCAGGCACCTCCCGCGACCCTCACCAGATCGTCGGTCCACCTAGTGGGAGGCCTGCCCACGCTACGTCTTCCGGCTCGTGGTCGCCACTCAAGAACTTTCCTGCCCCAGCGGCCATCAGCTCTACGAGCTATGTGCCCCGCCCATTGCCACTTGATTTTAGCGATTCTGTGGGCTATGTCAGTCACACGTTCACTTCATTCGTTCACTCCACAGATACTCACTGCGCGTGCGGCATGAGCTGCTTGATCTTCATGAGCTCGGTCTCGGAGTCGAAGGTCATGACGTCGACGCCCATGCGAGCTGCTAAAACTGAACCATTCATTCATTCGTTCGTTCACTCACTCCACAGATACTCACTTCGCATGCGGCATGAGCTGCTTGATCTTCATGAGCTCGGTCTCGGAGTCGAAGGGCATGACGTCGACTCCCATGCGAGCTGCGTTCTTATGCAGCTCCATATAGCTAAACCATTCATTCCTTCGTTCGTTTCATCCGAAAGACGTCCACTGCTGGACAAAGGCCTCCACAAAGGATTTTCACAAAGACCGGTCCTGCGCCGCTCGCATCCGGGCACCTCCCGCGACCCTCACCAGATCGTCGGTCCACCTAGTGGGAGACCTGCCCACGCTACGTCTTCCGGCTCGTGGTCGCCACTCAAGAACTTTCCTGCCCCAACGGCCATCAGCTCTACGAGCTATGTGTCCCGCCCATTGCCACTTGATTTTAGCGATTCTGCGGGCTATGTCAGTCACTCGTTCACTTCATTCGTTCACTCCACAGATACTCACTGCGCGTGCGGCATGAGCTGCTTGATCTTCATAAGCTCGGTCTCCGAGTCGAAGGTCATGACGTCGACGCCCATGCGAGCCGCGTACTTGATGTGCGACGCCATCTTGGCTGGGTTCGCGAAGATTATGCGCCTGGAACAAACGATAAGTGTTAAAAATGGACAGAAACTTGTGTAAAATGGGAAGTTTCGCGGATTAGAATAAAAAAAACAGCATTTCGGTACGCCATTAATGTAATGCAACAAACAAAAGCCAAAAGAAATAGACAAACTCACAGAAAACCATAAAGAATAAAAAAGAGTTTGTCCATAAAACGTTAGCTAACATTGAGGGTATTTTGGGCAATTTGGATTTTTGGATCTTTCTCTTTTATTCGAAGAGAAGCAACTACGATAGTAGACTTAAAAAGGAAGTCTTTTAGGTGGAGAGTTGTGTGTCACGTAATGGTTATGTAGTAAATATGTTGTTGTGTGTCGTATTATGTGTAATGTAAGGTCTAGTTTAAGTCAAGTGTCTGAGATATGGGAGCGGCACAGGACTTCAAACGTCAGCGAGACTTCAAATGTGCTTCAGATCTGTATGCTCTGTCACGTCATAAATGTCAATGTCACCCCTCCCGTGCCACTCTCATCATCATCATCATTTCAGCCACAGGACGTCCACTGCTGAACATAGGCCTCCCCCAATGATTTCCATGCTGACCGGTTGGTAGCGGCCTGTCAACCGTGCCACTCTACCTATAGTTTGAACGACGTTCGAACGTCGAAGCCACGATAGCCGAACAATTAAGGGGTCGGACTGGCCGACTCGTGATCCAGGGAACGTGGGTCACGAGTAGGGTTGCCAGGTCCAAAAACACAAAAGCCGGACTCTGTGCTTCATTTGGCCGGAAAATTTACCCTAAAAGCCGGACATGTAATTAGTGAGCTCGCGAGTGAGTACTATCATCATCGGTTGCCTAACGTCCTGGTGCGTGCGTGCCTTATTCTGTGGCTCGACTTTCGCCTGGCGCGGTAGCCAAATAAAAAGCCTAACAAAAGCCGGACAGGCCGGACATCGGTTATTTTGGCCGGACACGCAATCAAAAAGCCTTACTATGTCCGGCTGTATCCGGACGCCTGGCAACCCTAGTCACGAATATAAAAAAAAGTTTATTGTGTTGTGCAGTGTACTCACTCGGGACGCACACCGATGGAGGTAACGAGCTCGATCTCAGCCTTGGAAGCGCAGTCGAAGCCGGTGCCCAGCGCTGCCAGGGTTGTCACCAGCAACTTGTCGTCGTTGCACTTCACCGCTGCAAAATAACAATAACTTTAATGACATGATCACTTGTTGGGGTTTTAGGACAGACTTGAGAGAGCCAATCATTGATTCAACATAGTTCTGAAAGATTAATTTTACAGCGTTTTTGTATTACGTACGATACGAATCTGTTACAGACTTACTTAGAGAATCGGATGACATAAATGGGATCCAGTGGGTAAGTACATTCATTACCATACAAATAGTATTGGCCCTAACATGGTATGTCTGATAGATACTGTGGATTAGTATCATAGCTCATGAGTGAATACTATCATCTTCGAAATCTGTAGCCCAACATCCTGGGATGAGCACTGCACCAGTCATTTGTTTATAGGCTGCCACAACTCACCGTAGAACGGCTCGACGCGCGGCATCAGCTCGCGCCACTGGTGGTACCGCGCGACCACTTCGCCCACATCCATAACATAGAAGGGGTCTTCCTGCACCCCGTCCGCCGCGATCTCTCGCGCCACACTCAGCGGGGTCCAATCCCCTTCCAACACCCTGATGCGTTCCTCCTCCACGATCATTCTGGACTGTGTCATTAGATGTCTGTTCGTTTCAGCTAAGTGACGTCCGCTGCTGGATAAAGGCTTCCCCAAGGATTTCCACAAAGACCGGTCCTCAACTGCCCACATTCAGACACTTCCCGCGACCTTCACCAGCTCGTCGGTCCACCTAGTGACTCACCTAGCCACTCGAGGACTTTTCTGCCCCAGCAGCCATCAGGTCTGCGAGCTATGAAACAAAACGTACCATGCAAGGAACAAAACTCAAAAACTCACCGTAGAACGGCTCGACGCGCGGCATCAGCTCGCGCCACTGGTGGTACCGCGCGACCACTTCGCCCACATCCATAACATAGAAGGGGTCTTCCTGCACCCCGTCCGCCGCGATCTCTCGCGCCACACTCAGCGGGGTCCAATCCCCTTCCAACACCCTGATGCGTTCCTCCTCCACGATCATTCTGGACTGTGTCACTAGATGGGTCAGTAGCAATGCCCCTTAGACTCCCGACGGGTCAGCCCCGGCGGCGCCGGAGCTGCGGCTGTCGGCTATGCTGCGAAGACGCAGGCGGTCAGCTGTTCGGAGAATGGGGGGCGGTGTCAAGTGGCGGGGCCCGGTGGTGGGGGTCCACTAGCGCTAGTCCACAAGTGTCAGCTGGAAGAAAAGTGCTTCGTTAGTTGAAGAATTTTACACATGTCTACTAAAAATTAGACTGGATGAGGTCGAATTTCGAACTCTTCCTGTGTTCTTCTTATTAATTTCGATGCGGGTCCAATGACAGTTGATCTTTCCCCCGGGACAAACTTGACGATGCCCGGTTGAGATTTTATTGGCGATCAAGCTCTAGATCCTAGCTACACAGGAGTTGCAACGGTAGGAAAAAATTACACAGATTGACAATGACCAAAAGTTGCCAATGCTGTGTCCAAAGGGTAAGTAAGCTAAAGGGGCAATTTGCTGGTAAAATCTACCACACCCATAGGTAGAGAGTTCTAAATAGATAACTATATCATCATCATAATTTCAGCCACAAAACTTCAACTGCTAAACATAGGCTTTCTCCAGTGATTTCTTGAATGGCTGGCATCCAGCGCATTCCTGCAACCTTTATTCTGAATGGACGTAGTATATCAATTTATAAAGGCCGGCCCTATTCCAGGTTGATCACTCTTCACAACTGTGCTCGCCCGTTGGTATACTGCGTTAAAACAATTCCATTCCACTCACATGGCGGGCGTGGTGTGTCAGCGGGCGGGCGCGTGCCGCAGCCAGGGCGGATCGACGTTGAGAGCGCGGCGCCAACAGCGCGAACGTGGAGGAACTCCTCGCCCGGCACTCGCACACGCGCCGGCCTCACCCGGTACACCCTGGGGACAAAATACATGATTTGATTAGCACCCGTGACATTGGTGAAATTGTGGTTCCCAGCCGGGCTATGATGCGCGTCGTGAATAGTCGTGATACAATACAATCTTATCGATGATTTTAGACGTCAAAATGTATGGGTTTATCGCGTAAAATCGATAAAACTAATGGCGTTATAAAAGCTTATCGCAGCGCTTAAAAAATATGGATGGATTATAGACACCAAGAGCTATCAAGCTATCTACGAATTTTATCAATCTAGCCGGAAGGTAAACTGTCGAGAGTAGCTCAGCCTCATGAAAAGCAATAATCTCGCTACGATATTGCGGTTCTTGATATCCAATACTTAATTTTATTTAAGCCATCGCAAATGTATACTTTCGAATACTTTCGATACTCGATCTAAAACCCAATAAGGTTGACCAAACAAGATTCTCTTCGATACGCGACGGATAAAATAATAATTATTTTAGCGCCATTATTTTAGATTAAACTCAATTTCTTTAGCACACCTTACCGGTTATTTTCCTATCAGATTGCGTCAATCATTGGGAAATTCAGGAAAACCGCACAGAATAAATCATCTACATAAACCTATAGTTTTGTTTTATCCTTATCTTTATGAAGCCATGAGCACACATGAATAGATTCCGATAGTAATCTGCCTATTATACGTTGCACGTGATTATTTCTATGACAAATGCGTAGTTCGGAGTATATTGTATTATTTTTATTATTTAAAAGACACGTCTATCAAGAAAAACATGATTAACCTGTACAAAACGTAGATCAATTAGTTATTGTCAAAAACGAGCCGGTTTGGGCGTGACAAAAAACGCGGCGTACCTACCTATATTTTAACGAGCGCGGCGCCGAACTGAGAAGATGTCTGTCAACTTTAAGTCTTTATTTCAATAAAAGGTAGGTGTATTTTACTACAACGGAATAATCTTTCCGTCCACAATCTCTAGATTATCTTAAGTACCTATAGTAGTGCTGTAACACCAGAGACCTTGAACTGATTCAAGATAATAATATATTTTTTTATACAAAGTACAAACCACCCGGTAGCAACAAATATCTTCGTTTCCGAACCACACAAGATAAGGGGTTATCAGCTTGCAACATTATTATAATGAGATTTTACTATTATGAATTGTGAACACGTTATTGTGATTATGTAAGGTTTTATCAAAGCCTACCATCAGTCAGTATTGTCCACTGTTTAATGCTTATCTTTTTAGTTTATTTTTCTTAGTTTTGCAGTCAATAAAACGGGGAATCTGATGGGAAGGGAACGACATTTTGGTAGAGAGATTTTTATGCAGAACGAGGCAAATATTTAACCGTAATCGCACCTGAGGTTAAGTGAGGTGCAGTCTAGCTAGAGTGGTATATTACCTTGCCCTGTAATTACATAAGAAAATATTTTATTTTAAGAGTTGGCGGCACAGGTTAGTAAACTCTCTTCGAAACGACACCTACAATGTAGACTCTACATGCATAACAATAATAAACACTGTAATTACGTTATCAATACATTCTTCATTCTTGATATAACTCAGTTCATCAAACTTTAGACGTACAGAAAGACTTACAGTTGGATCAAATTGATGTTAATTACGTGCCGATTGTTTTGCGTTCGTACCATAATGAAATTATATGGAATTTCGTGACAAACAAATCAATCAAACGTTAAATTCCTATGGCTAACACCGTTACTAGAAAAAAAAATGAAGATTTGTAACTGAAAGCTAAGCCCAACCTGTCTGGCCAGCGTGAAGAGTAAGACCATATCGTTCATTATTGTCGTACTCCTGCAATGGAGACTAAATGATCTGATAATGATGATGAAGATGCAACTGCATATTTCAAACATGGTCATTATTTCATTTACCACGATAATGGTATGGAACTCGATATCAATCATGTTTGTCTTTGTATACTACGACCCCACAAAAGCGCTTCCACAGATCCCTTATATAATGATGCTTTTCATGTCTATAGTCTAGTGGACCAATAGATCAATGATCATGTGTCATCTCTGATCTCCCCAAACTACGTCAATTTGGCACAGTTGGCACAATTATTGGAAGCTGTTGACGTCACCAAGTGGTGGACTTTACCCGTAACGTCGAATGTATTTTGGCACTAGATTAGCAGCGTCATAACTAATCATAAAAGTGGATTGATCATAGCTGGAGTGGAGATTCTGCTTTCAATGTGGGTCAATCAACCTCCATGTGAATATGATTATGTGATTCGTGAGGCACAATAAGCCTTAGGAGGCTCATGTAGTCCGACTCTAGGATTATGACCTCAATGGCTTAGATGGTAAGTAATTTAAGTATCAATCCTCACATAGCTTTGTCCGATGTAAATATTGATACAGATGTAATCACAAATAGAAATTGAATTGAAGGCTAAATTGTTTAGATGTTGAAGCTAAACTTCCAGAGTAGACGACGATATTGGATTTATTTCTATTTTAATGACGATTCGAGTAGACAATGGATTTATCCGATACATCAAAAAAGATTTATCCTGATTTCGGGAAAATCTCCTTCTGCTTCTAACAGTTCAATTTCTTAGAATTCAGAACTCCGGATCAAGAAAGTCGAACCCCCTTACCAATAAGAGAAGATGCGTTTTTTTTTATGTGACAATCGTGAACCCATCTCATTAAGATATTTTATAGAGCCGGTGTGAACAGCTGTTAAGATAAGTACTGCGGCGGAACTACGCTGTATAGCGCCACGTTGACTCACGAACCACGCGCCGAAATCGAGGCAAGGTCAATGTTACGCTACTAGTTAACATAGGTTTATGGAATATTTTTTCTTGTTATTTCATGGCGGTAATGTACAGTCTACAATACACCATACATTTGAATTGCAAAATTGTACCTTCTGGGTCAACGTAATATTTTATGTCAGTGCCACAGTGTTCAGTTTAATGCCATCTATCTCTTCCTAGTACGTAACTGCTGTTGTTTTTTAAAATATGTAGTTATTATATTGCTTGCTTTTGATTTAAAAGTAATAAAAAAGTACGGCTTCGGAATCTAGGCTTTAGCCTTTAGCGCTTTACAATCCTCTGTTGCCGGTTGCCTTTAGAGTGCCATCGCGCCGGCAGCCGTTTTGACTGCCGGCAGCGTATCACGTGGTATCACCGCGCGGTTCCCAATGGCCGTATTTTTGGGAACCGGCGCAGCAGTAGATGCCACTTCTCAGCACCAGCCCATATGTTGTCCCGAAGTGGTGGTAGGGCAAGCTATTTGGGACGTGTTTAAGCGCCCTGGAAATGTCCTGAGTACTGAATAAAGAACTTGAACTTGATGAGCACTACACTAACGCAAGAAGTCCTAGAATCGATTCTGAAATGTGGTGTAAGTTTGTTTAATTCTGAGACAAGGTGCCGTCTTATTAAAAATGTCCAAGAAAGGTACCATAGTTTATAAGAGCAGGTGCTATTTTAGGAGGCGAATATTCACACAATGGCATGCCTTCAAAGGGCCTCTCAAGTTGTACGAATTCAGAAACTGCGTAGTAACCTTTTTGCGTGTAGAAGAAAAACAAGTCTAATTTTACGACATTGTAAAAGCACGAGTAAGAAACCATATGGCACCTTCAGTAGGCACACAATTGGTGTTTTTAATTCTTGTTAACAACGTGGCTAATGTATTTATGATCTTTATTTTATGCATGAGAAATAGAGCTACTCTAAATAGAGCGAAAAAGTAAAACTGTTTTTATTTGTAAACTTTAAAATTTAATTAAGTCTGGTTTTTTATGGGGCAGATTGATTACCGCCGCCCATAGGTACCAGCAGCCCCAGGGGAGTTAAAGGTGCGTTACCGCCTTTAAAGTATAAGTTTCTCTCTCTTCTTGAAAGATTATCTTCTGTCCATACGGCAGACGACCGTCCACTCCACAGTTTGTACTACCGAAGGTGCGAATTTATGTCACACTGACGTAGAAATGTACACATTGTAACGTGGTTACGGGGATATTGTAACATGGATATCCTTAAGCAATTGCTATGAAATTCCATATCAAGTTAGGGTTTGACCCAATATTGCCAAATGAAGCTGCGGTTGTGGTGAGTTTGTCACATGACGTAACAGTCGCATGCGCATGTAGGAAGCTGACAAACCATAATAGTCGGTGAGCTATTATTAATTTTATATCTAAGTGAACAGTTGTACTTATAGGAAATTCGAATAATATCTTATCACAAAGCTATGGAATAATATGGAGTGTCTTGTTAGTTAGACAGATCTAGACTTAAAAATATCAAGAAAAAATACATAACATGACTTAAGAACTTTCGTTTTAAAAACAAAATTTTTTACTCTATATGACTCTTTTATGGACATTCTGTGCTATTAATTTGATTTAAATTTAATTAATTACGTTTTCATTTTATTCAGTTCGTCAATAACATAATTCTACATTATTTCTGTGTACTAAAATAATGTCAGGCCAGTCAAAATCAATCACACTATCGTAAATTGTTGTTCTACTAACTACCAAGGTTTATTTGTCCAATTGCACTTTGGACAACATTGTAGAGTCAATGAATGAGCTACAATTTGATAGGGCGATCGTTTTAGTACATTAACTGATGAGAATGAGTTTTTGTTGGATTTGAAAAGTAAACTATGAGATTTAATTAACCAGATCCTTGAAAACGTAACAACTTAACTTCACTCTTTGTCTACATATTAAGTAGAAATCATTCAAACACATCATACACTCATCACAAACACGAAATTTTGGACATCACAAAAACTTACCCTTAATTGCGTAATTCTCAAAGCTTTTATAAACTTCTAAGCAACAACCGATCGGTTGTTGCTAATATTCGACCTTCTTGCGAACGTCAACGAGGGTCCCGATCAGACGCGCTGATCTGGCCGAAAATAAGGAAAAAATTGAAAAAGAAAAAACTCAAGAGCTGTCACTTGTCAACCGTTTGGCGGCAAACTGATAATGGCGGGCGCACGACGACGTATTTATGTATTGTGTTATCAGCAAATTCGCGGGATGAGTTATCATCACGAGATGGAAACGTTGTGTAAGGGGGATGACACCGCTGTGAACCGCTTTACAGCGTCATAACACTGTCACACACGATCCGAGTGCTGAATGTTAGTAAGTCTCAGATTCAATTTAAAGTGCTAAAATTTTGGCACCACAATAGGTACCATGATTAACATCTCGTAATTACACCATTAGTCATCCATTTCTGTTGTAATAATAATTAATAAACAAATCACTTAAAAGCAAATGCATTGAATTCATAGAAATAATACCGATGGAAGGCTATTTTTACATTGTTTATCATCATCATCAGATCATTATCACACATACTACTTAGACAAGCATCTAAATAATGTCATGATCTAAATAAATAAAAATTCGTCAATATCAGGGTGTTGCACTTGATGTCATCATACCCAAATACTTACAATCTTTCATTTGTTTTTCGATAACAGTTCTTAGTAAAGTGATTGTTTGTATCATCCGTATGTGTGTTACGGTCAAAGTGATAAATGTGAAAATTATGAATAATCGCCGGTTATTATGAATAATCACCGCATGATTTGGTAAATGTGATTAATATGTGGTCATTTATGTGTGTATAAAACTAAATAGGCGGCTTAGGGGTGGCCCAAGGGCCACCCCCGCCGCACCTTAACCTATTTTTCACTTTAAATCAAAACATTATGTTGTAGGCATCATGGAAAAGTAATATTATGCAAGAAACATTCCAAACTCATTATGCCAAATTATATTAATATTATGATATCAAAACGTTCAAAAGTTTGGCTGTACACGAGCACGTACACAAGATGTTGTTCTCTTTTATGAAATTTGTTAGTACTAAGGTTGAATTATTAAATAATCACTGTTAAATGTGATTAATTTATCACTTTCACCGCGACTGTCGGTAATTATTCATAATAACCGGTTATTATTAATAATTTTCAATTTATCACATTAACCGTAACATGTGCATCTAACTAAAAATATTATACGAATTAGAATGACTAAAGAACTAACTGAGCCACATACGCATTTAACCGCATTTTTGTAAGCGTCTTTGCTAAAAATCGTATTAAAAAATAAAAGTGAGAAATGCATAAGAAAACTATCGTGTGCGTGCACCTATTCAGGCTCTTCTCTCCATAAATCAAACAAAGATTTAATCCAAAATGTAATTACTAAATCCTTGATAGTTAGACAAAACAACGTACATTAGAATAACTAACAAACAATTGTTTACACATTATCATTAAGCTTTATACGATAGTCGCGTGTAAATTGTTTGTCTATGATTTCCAAGAAGCCAGCCAAGTAAATCAGATAGTAAACTACGAATGATTTAAACGTATTTGTCACAGGAAAATAAATACCATAAAGTCAGGGTTAAGTCAACTTTTTATCTGAAATAAAGTAGTTCATTAAAACTAACTAATATTTTGTTTGTAATGTACGTTTTTCCGGTTCATAGTAGATAAACTCGTTATTACTACGAAAATCGTTGACGAGTCTTATTATACAATATTTATTATCGTATAACAGATAAAATTTAAAAACAAAAATACAGGGTCATAAACTCATATGGCCGCTACCAACCGTGCGATGTGGAAGTGATTGGGGGAGGCCTATGTTCAGTGCAGTGGACGTCCTGTGGCTGAAATGATGATGATGATGATGAAAGACTCATAAGACTCTACATTGATCGATTTAATACTTTTTGTACCACATTTTAGACGGTTTAAATCCGCACTGTCTCTTGAGACTCCGTTAGCAACATCAGAAGAAAACCAATCAACTTTAAAGTTCATAATTGAAGCCTTCAAGTAATTTTCTGGGCAAGCTTGCTTAATTAAAAATAACATATCCACTCTTGGGTGAGAATTACCTCATATTAATGGAGATATCTCAACCACCATACATTTGTTTCCTTTCATTTACATATTCCACCAAAACCATCTGAACCATCAAAGTAATTATTTTAAAATAGTTAGTAATTTAATCATATTATGTACTCTCAAAACCCCCAAACCCAGGAATGGTATCTACCATAAACGTAGGTAGAGCCTTCTACTCTCGTCGCCAAATTGACAGAAGCGAATATTCCGTGCTTGCGCCAGAATTGCATTAGTTTCCTGCGTCGTTGGCCTCCGACCTTCGTATCTGTTTACTGGGGGCTGGTCGATGGTCCTTCGCGCGTGACTCGATAGCGAAGATCGAAGGTGGGTGGGGTTGTTGATACAATAGTGATGGGATGACTTAGTCTTTTAAATCCTTTTTGAAACGAACTGACCAAAACACAGACTTCAATCAAGAGCTTATAAGTATTTTTGTAGCCCATATTTAAAAGTGTTCTGAATTTGCAATCTTCTCATGTGTAAAATGAACCGATCCTTGTTAAATTTAGATGCTTGTTATTTTTACTTTAAGTCGTTATGTGATATGTTCGAAAATTATCTGCTGCATGCGCTAGAATTGCATAATTTCCTGCTTCTTTGGCCTCCGACCTCCGTATCTGTTTACTGGGGGGCGGGTCGTCGGTCCCTCGCGCGTGACTCGATAGCGAAGATCGAAGGTGGGTGGGGTTGTTGATACAATAGTGTTGGGATGACTTAGTCTTTTGAATCCTTTTTGAAACGAACTGACCAAAACACAGACTTCAATCAAGAGCTTATAAGTATTTTTGTAGCCCATATTTAAAAGTGTTCTGAATTTGCAATCTTCTCATGTGTAAAATGAACCGATCCTTGTTAAATTTAGATGCTTGTTATTTTTAATTTAAGTCGTTATGTGATATGTTAGAAAATTCTCTGCTGCATGCGCTAGAATTGCATAATTTCCTGCTTCTTTGGCCTCCGACCTCCGTATCTGTTTACTGGGGGGCGGGTCGATGGTCCCTCGCGCGTGACTCGATAGCGAAGATCGAAGGTGGGTGGGGTTGTTGATACAATAGTGTTGGGATGACTTAGTCTTTTGAATCCTTTTTGAAACAAACTGACCAAAATGCAGACTCGAATCAATAGCTTATGGTCTTTTTGTGGCCCTTATTAAAAGTATTCTGAATTTGCAATCTTCTCTTGTGTGAAATGAACCAATCCTCGTTAAATTTAGATGCTTGTTATTTTTATTTTGAGTCGTTATAATGATATGTTCGAAAATTCTCTGCTGCATGCGCTAGAATTGCATAATTTCCTGCTTCTTTGGCCTCCGACCTCCGTATCTGTTTACTTGGGGGCGGGGGCGATGGTCCCTCGCGCGTGACTCCCGATAGCGAAGGATCGAAGGTGGGTGGGTTGTTGATAGTGGTGAGGACATAAGTCCTATAAATCCTTTTTGTAACGGTGCGACCTGATTTAATTTTGCGGACAACTGATAAGTTTTATTGTGGTCCAATGTGAGAGAATAACATTAGTAAATTTTGCATTTATAGATTTCAGTGTAAAAAGAGTCGATCGTATAGAAATGTTTATATTAAGTGATGACCGACACAAAGATGTATTTCTGAGAGTTCTGTGATTAATTAGGTTTTTCTCACATTGGATCGACTTGATATACAGAACTTGGGATCAATTTTAACCGGGAGTTTCGCAGTTCTCCAAAAACGGGTCAGCTTTAAAAACAAACTTAAAAGACTAGATTCAAGCCCAACACTAATATAAAGGGAGGAGTAGGAAACTAGAACCACTCTAGGATTATGTTGCACCCGCGTTTTGAACTCAATTTGAACGCAATTCCAGCTCGGATATTGCCTTGCTGTGTGCTTCTTCAATTAATACTGAAACCAATGAACTGGATGGAACACGAGTAATATTAGGAATTGTATGAAGAGCCATAGGATGCAAAGGTTTAAGAGAATTTCTAGCTTCGATTTTTGTAAGCTTTGAAAACTGAAAAAAAATTGTTACAGTTCAAGTTAATTGACTCTTTTGAAGTAATTAATTTCGATATCTTCGATACCTGTGCTAACAACCTTAGACCTACGTTATCTTGTTTACCAGAGATGACACGAGACTGAGAGGCAGGCACACTTGGTAGATATGCTAGACTAAATAAGCCTAGACGAGGTCAAAATGACTAAACATTGACCCCCTTACTAATAAAAATTCACAAGGTTTTTGAACACTTTTCCATACAAAACATCATTTGAAAGTAAACACTGTTCAACGCGCGTGTAAAATTTATTATTGGTGAGGGAGGGGTGACAGTAAAATCCGAAGAAAATTGCAAAGATCTCTAATTTTGTTGAACTAGAAGTCGGTGGATAACTAGTGACCTCAAGTTATCTAGGGCAGTTTAGTTCGCCGATCTAGCCTCAGTCCGGTCTAGTGAAGATAAAGACACTGACGTTTGATCTAATTGATAGCCCGCTAGATTGGAAATTGAATTAAAAGCTAGCCCTACCCACTGACCTTTAGAACATCTAATCGGGGAAAACCTTTTAGCCAATGTAAGAGACAACTAAATTGTAGATTTTCACCAGGTACAGTCAGCATCAAATAGTTCGTGACACCCAAAGTAGCCAATAAGTCTTTGTTACAATTGCGATAAGGATGATGTGTTGTCAACTTTTTGGCCACTTTGGGTGTCACCAACTACACTCGACAGCAAATAAATCACACCACCCGCGACGCGAACTTTAAAGATTTTTTTTGCACAATAATGGTGCCCCAACAATATTGATGTTATTTGAAAGCCCAATAAATATCCTTAAATGAAAACACATTTAATTTCTTAATAAATGATTAACATATACCATAAATGTGACTTACATTTTATGGTTATAAAACCAAATAATGATCACACGTGTCCTCTTTAATAGATGGATACTAATGGATAGCGATTAATCCCAAGTTAACAGTTTTATAGCCATAAAAGTTGGCTCAAGCGTAACTATCTATTTTTTGAAGAAGTGACTCTGGATCCTTCTAAAGAAACATTTTTGGGGTAAAAACCTTT